ACCACTGCTGGCACCACTGAAAGCAAGCCACAAACCACTTCTACTAGCAGCTCGGGGCGGTGAGAGAGCGGTGGGGGCGGTGGTGTGGGTGCGGGGGGGGCGCGGGCACGCATTGGCAGCCTCTAAACACTCTTTAGTTAGCACAGCAAATACATGGACACGCACCAGAAGCCACCACTGCTGGCACCACTGAAAGCAAGCCACAAGCCACTTCTACTGGCAGCTCGGGGCGGTAAGAGCAGTGGGGGCGATGGGGGTGGTGGGAATGGTGAGGGCGGTGTGGGTGCGGGGAGGGCGCGGGCACGCATTCACAGCCTTTGAATACTCTTTAGTATACTACAGCCAAGCCGCCACTACTAGCACCACTGAAAAAACAAGCCAGAAGCCACTTCTACTGGCAGCTGGAGGCGGTGGGGGTAGTGAGGCAGTGGGGGCAGTGTGAGCGCGGGCACGCATGGGGCGCGGGCACGCATTGGCAGCCTTTAAATACTCTTCAGTATGGTACAGCAAAGCCAGCACTAGGGGGCGTGGGCACGCATTGGCAGCCTTTGAATTAGGAGGCGATGAGGGCGGTGGCGGCGGTGTGAACGGCGTAGGTGCAGGCGGGGGCGTGGGCACGCATTGGCAGCCTTCAGCGGAATAAGCAGGGGCTAGCAGCCTTGGCAGTGGGTGTCCAGGAGGAAACCTTCGGGGGAATCACGGGCGCCGCCCCGAAAGCGGGGTCGGCGGATAGATATATATATATATACACACACACACATGCACATCGCAGCATTCAAAAAATAGCACTCCCGGATGCATTGATTATCGAGCCCGAAGTGTTTGCCTTGTTGTCGCATCTGGTCGGAAATCAATTCCATTGTGTCGGAAAACTCGAGCTCATTGTTGCGGCACTGGGAAGCCGTTTATCCATTCTTGGGAAAAGGGCGAAACGTCACACGCAGAAAAAGACGCCTTGCACGCGGCTGCAGGCAGCGGCGGCCGAGGCAGGGGCCGGTGCCGCACTGGACGAAACGGAGAAAGCGCTGGAGGCCGGGCCCAGGGCCCCAGGGCCCAGGGAAGGGGGGGGGGCCCCAACAAAAAGCCCCTTAAGGCCTCTTGCAAGGCTTAAGGGACCCCAACACCTTCGCGGCTCGTCAGAGTCCTCTGCTTTTGAGGTGCTGCATCGCTCAGCCAGGAAGGCCGAGAAGGAGCGACTGTCCTGCGGGTCCTGCGCCGCTGTGCGCAACTGCGATGCCAGGCCAAGGCACTCCGGGGCCGGGCAGCAGAACAGGCGAAGCCTTATTCTCGGGCAGCAGAGCAGTTTTTAAGTTTTGTGGCCAAAAACCCCGTTCTTTTCAGGCAGCCTCGAATGTCGCTGAGATCCGAAGGATCCGGCTGCAGCTTACGGGAGGAGCCCCGGATGCATGAGAGCTCTCATCCGAGTCGCGAAATCCTGGAGCCGGCATGCATTGGCTGAATGCTGCTGTGATTCAGCAAGATCTTGTTTCCCGATGCAACTGCAAGCTCATGTAGACTCAAGCTGTGCCGATCGTCAGTTCAAGTCTTTTGCATGCCCTGCCGTCAATCAAAGCATGACTCAGCATGACTCATTGGCATCCCAATGACACAACGGCTACGGGCATTCCGAACAAGGTGCAAGGTAGCAAGATGCCATCTCGCAATCCTGATTTCAAAACTATGAGGGCCGGGGGCCGCAGGGCCGCATCCGCAGAGACTGGCGGGGGCCCCAAGGATGGTGCGAGAAGCGATGGAGCGATGGGGGGAGAACACTCTAAGGCTAAGGATCCTTCGAAACTACAGGACCGGAAGAAGCTGTTGGCGCTTCATGCTTGAAGATGTTTGTCGGGCCGGAAAATGGCGGAGCGATGTGCCCAGACTGTGCTCTGCAATACGAGAACGGCAGAAATGATGCAAAGAGCGAGAGACAGACCGACAGAAACGCAGAAAAGCGTTACAGTACAATGATAAACACTAGTGCTCATATACGCTACCTATATGTATGGAAGTCGTGCTCAACATGACGTTGTTGTGGAGAAAGCAGATTCGCCTTCACTGGTTTGCTTGACCCTTTACAGCCAGAGCCAACAAGGCGTCGCTGTCCAGCACCAGAGGGAGGCAGTCATGTCAAACAGTGAGCGCAACTTGGGGAACGGCGGCTTCTGGCTGTCTAGACTGTGACGGCCCGCCTGGAGGTAGGAAAAGCAAAGGGCAGAAACACAGCGAAGAGAAAGACACCAGCATCCAGGAATTCCAAAGCCGCCAGGCCACAGGGGCCGGTCCGTCGAAACTTCCTGGTAGGAAAGTCCAGTCCGGCCGCATATGCTCATGCAGCACGTCTTCCGGATCATTCGACTTGCCAGGCTGATGTCTTGGCTCGCTTTTATTGTTGTCAGCATTTCCTGGTTCCCCCAAACGGTACCCTTCATTTCTTACTGACACATCTCAGCATAGGAGTCAGGGATAGTCAGGGCCAAGGGCCTATGACGCCTGTGGAAGGCCATTGATGACTGAATGCCCTCTGGCTGTCGGAGGAGTCTCAAAAGTTAGGTTACTCTTAGTCGGCCAAGGCCCAGGCTGCGATGTCCGCAAGGCGAGAGATTCTGGGAAAACTCAGAGCACGGACTCCGCATAGGGGAGTACGGGATTCACCTCGGAGGCCCCGGCGAACGGCGGTGAAAAGCGCCGCCGCTCCCCGGCCCGGTCCTGAGAACTCAGAGCCTGAAGCATAGCCGACGACTCGCAGAAGACTCTCTCTTTGCCTGCTTTGCATCTGCTTCGTCTGGAGGCAGAGAGCTGGAGCTCAGGCCTCTGCCAGTGCCCGAGTTTTGCAACTCGCCAATCCCAGCCCGAACTGCACTCGAACTGCGCTGCGCTGCTCAAGCGATGTCATTTGCCATATTTGCCATCTGCCAGCATGACGGCCCGGCCCATTTCAGGGTCAAGAACATGGAACTCAATGTCAAAGTCAAGGCCAAGAGGATTCCAGAATTCGGCACGGTCTTCACGCATGCCGGCGCCCTCGCCGTTGCTGGCTGTTGCCGCGAGCGCATGAGCAGCAGCTTCCCTGGCACAAGACTTCAGAATTCCCTGACAGTTTCCTTCTGCGGATATAAGGCTTCACGCGGCTGCTTCTTGAGGGTTTGCCTGGTACTTCGGATGGCGCGGTGCTGCACCTCGCCAGCGTCGCCAGTTGAGTCGGCTTTGCATGGACAGCTTGCCTTCCCGCCGCGAGCGCCTCGTGCCGAGGCCGCATCGTTCGGGGAGAGAGGCGTCGGGGAGAGAGGCGCAGGCGCCCGCCCGCAGCCCCGCGCAGAGAGTCTCTGCGGTTCGAGCGAGCCGGAAAGGACGTGCCTGCCCTGGAGAAGCTCCTCGAGGAGTTGGACCAGAGCTCCCGCGGTTCGGAGTCCGTGCACGTGCAGAACGTGCCGAGCAAGGAGAGAATGGAGAGAAAGCGACGCTTCTCCTGTGTGCTGTGCTGGTTTTGTCCTCTCGCTCCCTCTCGCCTTCTGACCAGGACACGGAGCTCCCTTCAGAGCCCTCAGCAAGCAAAGACTCGAGCGGGCGCTGGAGTCCAGAATCAAAGCCCTACAGGCCCCTCGATTTCCAGAGCTTGGCCGAGGCGTCCGGAGTCGGCACACAAGTCTCTCTCTCTCTCTCTCACTCTCTCTCGCGATGTGCTGCATGCCAGGGCTGCCCAGATCTGCGGCAGCGCTGCAAGGAGGCCCGGCCCCTCATCGCCTGAGCTGTTAGGAGCACTCTTGAGCGCAAGAGCCACATCAGCGGAGAGGCTTTTGAGAGTGTCGTGAAGGAGTCCCTTCATGAGGCGTGGTTGATAAAGACCCGGCATCCATTCTCGCGAGTCTCGCTGACAGGATGCTCCGAAACCATACAGGGAGAAGCCCAAGCCCAGGCGAGCATTTTCAAGCACGTGCAAAGAATCGAAGGCATCTTCCGCTGAGGAAGCTCCCGTCGCGAACTCCAAAGTCAGAGCATTGGAACTTCAGCAGCTCAGTTTCACCAGAGCGGGTGCTCTTCTGGCACTCTGGTCCTAGCCCTGTGTGTCAGGTTTCAACGTGAACCGTGAGGCTGGAGCACATTCTGTGGCTGGAGTGTCCAGAGTTTGTGAGTGTCAGGTGGTCGGCGCAGAGCTCCTGGAGCTCGATGAAGATGGCCTCCCACAGCCTCCCACACAGGCTCGGCTTAGCGGCTTAGCCTCAGCTTTGGGCGAGGGGGAGGGGCTTGCAGACAGGACCTTCGCCAGCTGCCACGATCCAAGAGCCGCAAGGCAGAGGCCCTGCCAGGCTTGCCGGGCCTCCGGCCGCCCAACTACAGGCCCGACGTCCGACCGTGTCGCCAGTCGACCGCGTTGTGGCGACTCCGCCGCATTCCGCCGTCTCAAAAGAGTCGCCGAGGCCAGAGCCGGGCCTCGCCAGGCGAGGCCCCAAGTCGCCAAGTGCCCTTTGCTGTCTCCGGACTCCGAGGTTCCGTGCCATCCCTTCTCAAGAGAACGAGTGGATCGAAGGCCCCACCGGCGGTCTGCGGCGTCTGCTGAACCGTCTTAAACCGAGGCCTCAAGAAGATGGCAGAAGCGCAGAGGCACTGCATGGCGCCCCTCACTTGCACGGCACTGCGTCACATGCGGCGCGTGGCGCGGCCACAGCTTCCCTCTCAGCCGTTTGTGTTTAGGTCGACCACAAGCTTTGCGCAGACGTTTCCATATATACCTAACTACGGTGACTCAAATACGTGCTGGCACAGGAACATAACGTAGGCTGCATAAGAAGGCGATACATCAGATACCCAAAGAAGCCTAGGAAGCTGAATCTTCGTTGGTCGCGCTCCTGCCGCCATGGGCTGTGGCAGTTCCAGGGAAGTCACCGACGAAGAACGTTTGGCTTTTCTCGGGAAGGTCTGGATTGCGTCTTCGTGTCTAGGCGCCTAGTGGCCTGACCGCCTAACCTTGCGAGTCGACCTCCAAGGTGGAGCTCTTCAAACGGCTGCCGCGGGACACTCTTACTCGAGCGATTAGCGCGAGCCGTTGCAGTCCCGCTATATAACAGGACGAACTGCCAGCGCTGGCGCGATCTGCAGAGGAGGTTGTGTTTGCCAAAGACGACGTCATCATCAAGCAGCATGCTGAAGGTGAGAGTTGAAGAAGAGCGACTGCTGTAAGCTCAAATCTCAATTTCCTTGCAGGAGACGAGTTCTTCATCTTGAAGAGGGGTACAGCAGGAACTTTCCGGGAGCTGGACGGCAGGGAGATGTGTGCACCATGCCGTGGGAGCTTCAGGTGTGGAGGTCAATGGTCATCGGATCGCGACGCTCAAGGCGCGGACCAGCAGAACCCAGCGCGGAAACGGAAAACGGATGCGAGACTGCGAGCAAGATCGAGAGGCAGGAGACTATTTCGGAGAGAATGCTCTGCTACGCGACACCCCGCGGACCGCTACCATCACGGTGCGAAGCTTGGTATAGAGATCAATCATGTATAGGTCAATTTCAACATTGCGCAAGGCAGCCAGCGAGATCAAGGCTTTGCCGCTCGGATGGAGATTCCGAGCCGATGGCAAGATATGGCAAGAGTGCCTAGGGGCCTCAGGCTGCCTATGCGATCTCTGATCTGAATCTCAGGAGAATCACTCGGGAGGTGCCTGTCAGAATCGCGTCCTGCAGTGTGCAACGGTGATCCTCGCTGGTCGAGGCCTTTGTCAAGCTGGAGCTCCACACAAAGCTGGAGTTTGGAAAGAGAGGTCTCCTGCCAGTCAGCCCGTTCACAGTTTGGAACAGATCTCCGCAGGTGCTGTTGGTGGAGGCAAGATGGCGAATGCTGAAATTAAGGCGGCTGACCACAAGACTGACGGTGCAGCCCGATTGCAATTCGGCCAGTAGGATTTTGCTCCTGAAGCCGGGTTTTGGAAGAGCACTTGTATCGCGGGGCGTTTTGCAGGTGCGCGAGTTGCGCGAGAGTAGAATTCGTAGGGCGGTCCTTTGCTTTCGAGGAGAAGCAGCTGATCGTCTGCTGCTCAGGAGCTCAGGAGCTCCCTGCTCGGGCCGGTCGGAAGTCGCAGTCTTTGGGGGTCCTCGGGCTGTCTTCGCACTCTTAGGCTGAGGCCTTGAAGAACAACGCCAACCTGAACATGATCGCCAACCTCGATGACGAGAAGCACCTGCCTTGCAAACGGGCACATAAGGGCGCATAGGCTGCATAGGGCCTGACACTGGTAGCAGAGGTACTTCAAAGGTCGAGTTCCACAGTGCAAAGAGAAATGAATGGGACGGCTCCTATCCCCTGAACGGCCTCTGCACTGCCAGCTGCCCCCCTTCTTCCTATGAGAGAAATCATAGCTCTGTTGATGCTGGCGGCTGAGCATGCCCTTGCCACCCCTTCAGCTCTAGATGTCGCATTGAACTGAAGAGGCTGCAGGCCTGGCCTAGTTCTTTCCTCCGCCGTGCGCCGTGTTGAATCCTCCACCAATCTGATGACCCATCATGTAGAAAAGAGAAAAGATCGTATACTCGATGGCCAGCTGCTTTTGTCAACCTGTCGGGCAACTGGGCTTCGATGTGTTCCCATCTGATCTCAGCCCTGGTGCAGATCTGGGATGCGTTAAGAGCCATCATCTTGATGCTGGTCCTCTTCTCTGCGCCCTTCGCCACCAGGACTTCCGCCACCATGCTGCTATGCGTGACAATGCATGTCTTGGTAAGTTGAACAGCCGTGTATGGTTGGTGAAGATGCGGACACCTACGAGCTCCTTTCACTGGAACCGGATGGAGTACAACGTGTCCTGCGGACGACCGCCGTGTGAATCTGCGCTCGTCCCAATGACCCTGCTTGAAGTTTGCTCGGATGGACATGACGGTTGACCATGCCGCGAAATACACCGTCTTCACGGAGCACCAAAGAGCATCTGACCACAAGCGTTCAAAGTTCGAATCCTAACTGCTTCATGAAGTCATCAACAGAGCGATACCACTCCAGCTGCGCGTCCGCTAAGCCGCAGCAGAATGTCTGGGTGAGGAGCCTATTGGCTTCACTCATGATTTCCAGCAGCACATGTGGCCTCATACCTCTCGAAGATAGCGGGGAGCAGTTCCACGGCTGTCTATGAGTCATACTCAACAGCTGTCGGCGACGATCTTGCGCGGCATCTCTCCGACTTCTCCTTCACCTCCTGAACCCTGTGAGCATCGTGGCTTCCTCGGCATTCGGAGCTTGAACTGTTCGCACCCTGGCTTTCCGAAGGGCCACATAGCCCTTCTTCGGATGCCTTCGGGGCCCGCTTGGGTCGCCCTTGGCCTTGCGCATCCTTGCGCTAGGTTGCTTTCTTCCCGCACTCAGTAACGGAGATGAGGCGGAGCTCGCCATTGATGGAAGCTCGACGCTGGCACCTCGCCCTGGCACCACGTCGCAGATCGTGCAGGAAACGGCTCACGGGCTGCGCTGCGCGACCGCGAAGAGAGTCCCGTGTTAGAGACTGTTAGAGTCATCAGCCGAGTCATCGCGAGGACGACTCCGCGGTTGCGCACTTCTCCAGCCTTTTTGGGGAGTATACCTGATCTCATCGGCCATCTCGCTGGCGCCTTGCCAGTTTGTAGACAGGATCCATGCCACGCGTCACGACCGGCTTTTCTGCCGTGGCCGATTCCAGTCCCAGGTACGTGAGTTGCCACGGCCTTTCCGACCAGTATTCCACGCAGCCTGCGATAGATTCGCCGCTCTCGTACAAGGGCTGGACACGTTTTAAGGTCTGGATAGCCCCCATGTAAGCTTCGTGTTTCTTGGTGGTCTACTCGTTCCGGCGTTCGC